TCTTTCATGTTACGACAAACTCTGACCTTAACATCTGAAAGTCATAACAGAAGACTCATCAGGTGAGGCAAGGTTTTTCTAATTCTCCTATCGCCCAGTTTTTGATGAGCCTCATTTTCCTTTTCTTAGCTGACAGGAAGGACACCCAGTGTGGTATTCTCCTTCTGCATTCAGAGAAGCTCTTCTGCATACCTTGTTTATAGCAAGTGTTTATTTCACTTACTGTTGCCTTCCTATCAGCTTGAGGTAGCCTGACCCTCCTCTGGACCTCCGACTTCAACATGTCATTTCCTTCCAGAGAACTGCTGCTTGCTGGGTATTTTCTCCTTTCCAAACCATTTTCTGTAAACTCCAGAGATTATTTTTGGGGAAAATCCCAGCAGGTCAACAGGTTCTGAAAAACTCAGACCAGCCAATAAGTCAACAACCTCCATGAAACATTCAAAGTCACTTACATCACATTTCTTCCCCATTGTAATGCCCAGTAGTGCTTTAGTTTAGTTGTTTTGATCATGTCTACATGCATAAACGCACTGAGTTACTGCCATTTGATTGGATAATTAGATGTTTGTGCAAATGAGCAGTTCAACAGATATATCTAATAAAGTAGTCAGTGAGTGTAAAGTCTTTGGACCAGCTGTAGGTCACAACAAGTTTAAATTAGTTTAGGTAACACCATTGACGATGCTCTAAAAGGCCCCAAGGGGGGTGCCTTGGTTTTGGAGCCCGCCTCAAGTGGTCATTAGAGGAACTGCAGTTTTTGCAACTTCTGGATTTCAATTTTCAGCTCCAGAGGTTGCTGTTTATACATAGAAGTTTAAAGCAGGGTATTTGTGGCTTGTAGGATTTTAGTACAATAGAAAATTACAGTATGTCTATCACACCCCAGGCAGCAGTGGTTTTCATTTCAATAATGCATGCTGTATGAATATTTCATCTCAGTGCTGTATTTAATACCTGACCTTCAAGATTCACATCGCAGGGAGGCAATGATTTCACACTACACTACACTGTGTAATTGTTGGTAAATCCAGAACAGTTCGGGTGTTCTGATATGTCCTGGAAACTCAAAAGTGCTTTTTAAGTACTCTAACAGGAATGATCAGCTTGCCTAAAAACACTGGAAATAACTTATTGCTCTGCGACTGCTGTACCATCAGTGATGATACTGATACCTGCCACTCAGGTGAGGGATGTCAGTGGGCTGTGTGTTGAAAGAAGCTCGTTCTTTGTATCTGAAGAGCTAAGACAAACACTTCATGTCAGTGTCAGTCTGTTCTTAGGAACCAGAGCCCTTCTGCTTTATTTTTCAACCGTCAGCAATTGGTGATTAAGATCTGAGGTGGTGGGTGAAGCAGCACTGAGTCATGTGAAGCACTGCTGTACTGAAAAATCTATTTACCTGCAGATGTATCAGAAAAATCAACACCTAAATATTTAAAATGCAGAATACTAATATCCATTCTTTACACCTTACATAAAATTTAAGTAAATGGCATGCGATAATTAGCAGCTGTCAAAGCAGCTTAGAGGTAGATTACAATCATCTACAGTTGACACCTTTTTTATTGATTTCCACTTACTGACCTGTGAGCCACACCATTCAGCAGGTGGAGCCTGATCCACAAATAATCAGTCTTCAGGTTAATCACTTTAGGGGCTGAACTATTCAAAAATACTTCCTACCTAAACCATCTAAACTAATCTGTGCTTCCTTCCTTCCACAGGCCTCCATCAGCATCAGTTGAACATCTAGTGGCAAGAAATCAGATCTCAGCAGAGAAATGCTAAATGAACATAATCTTTAATCTGTGCTTCCAATTATATGTTACCAATTAGATTTATAAATGACTAAAATGAAAATCTGTGACATGTTTTACCGAGTTAATGAAGAGGCCCTTAATTACACACTTCTACAGTTTGGGAGCTAAAAGCACATGCTGCAGCTTTTCAAAGCAAAATTACTGTTCAAGCTTGTTTGAGTCAGGATTTCAGCTCTCAACAGATCAGGGTCTCCTGTGCTTTTCATGCCGACATGTTTCCATTGGGTGACAGTTCAGGACTCCAGGCAGATGAGTATAGTATAGTATAGTCCCTCGATACAGAGGAATGTGTGCAGAATGGAGAAATAAGCAATAGCACTGTCTGCAGTATCACAGCATATTCTGTGCCATATGTAATTACCTTATACGCATGCTGACTTTTTGATGTGCAGTGACAATAAAATATGACTAATTATCATTAAGGTCCAGTTGAATTATTATTCGATTGGACCAAAGGGCAGGCTTTTGAATATCTATCTTTTGTCTTTGGACTGCGGAGCTTCAAACAGACTTTTCAGCTTTGTCTCTGCATAGTTTTCTCTGGATTTCCTGAATCTTTCACATGTTTTAGGGTCAAAAGTGCCGAATTGTCTTAAATGTATGACAGGGCCTGATAATTCAGGAAGAAGGATATGAAGTTAAATTCTGGACTAAACAGGACTGCAATTCTGTTTATAACCATGTGCCAGTGCAGTATTTCAGAGTGAACCGCCCTCCTGTCTTTCAGCGCTACCAATTAGGTTTTCCATTGCACTGAATGCACTGACGATACTGTTACCCAAGTATTATACTAATAATGGCTCATTTATTGTATGCATTGCCTTAAAAAAAGGGGGGGGGGGTTGAAGCACACTGGAACATGCAATAGAAAAATGTCCGTTAAACTAAGATGATGAAATACATTAAAATGATCGAAGTGAAGTTTATATCTGTCCTCATTCTGAGCACTGCTGTACTGCCAGCTTCTTTTTTACTTTATAGATACTGAAAGCCTTAAAGGCAAAAGTTAAAGTGGATAATCTCTTTAGCAGGATTGGAAGTGTTGCATAAAATGGAACAAATGGGCCAAAACATGTAGAACGCACTGCAGAGCTACATCTAAAATATCTGTCCCATTAAGCAGCCTGTCTGTGTCACTGGGATCTGCTGCACTGCATTCTTTTCTATTTTGGAGTTCTGCTTCTCATTTTTATTGACCTTATGTAATTTTCTATTGAGGTTAAGCAGCACTGCTTAAGAAAAGATGTAGGAGGGATTTTTTCTTTTTACTGTTTAACTAAATTCCGGAGCTGCCAATACAGCACCTCCTTACTTTCACTGCATTTCCATTGCCATGCAGGGTCCATCACATTAAGTGCTGTTCCAAGCCAACTAGTTTTAAATGTAAGTGGGTTGTAAAAGCCCTCCAACAACCAGTCTGCATCACGGCTTACTAGAATAAGCTCACAAAACTGACATTGCTTTCATGTCTCAGCAATGAACAAAATGAACCAACTTTCAATATTTATAAAAAAGAGTTAGTTTGAATCTAATTTCTATTACTAAAGATAAAATTAAGACAAAGCAGGGTATGAATGAAAATTAATTGCAATAGATAAATTTTCAATAACCGATGATCTCAGTGCACTATCTGATAATCTAAACTGCTCAAGCTGCAGAGAAAGTTTCTGTTTGCATCATAGAAAGGCGAGGACATCCCAAAGCGTGCCTCTGTATTTCTACCACAACACCTTTTAAGACTCTCCAGTGGCTGCATGTGTGACTTCACATGGAGTGGGATGGTGTAGGAGCTGGACTGGAACTGGACCTTCAGCTGCAATCAAAGAAAGTTATTGTTCAAGTGTGAGTGAGAGACTGATATCACTGGAGTTATCACTAGAGCTGTATATTTCAGTTTTTATATCTACTTTATCTTTAAAATAGACCCTTCAAATCAAAGTGAGAAAGCCTCAGTGATCAAATGATCCCATGTCAACAGCACTATGGCAACAGTGGGAAGACAGAACTCCATTTTAACAGAACCACACTCAGATTGGCATCAGTTGAGGGGATAAAAAGACAAAAGAGAAGCATAGAGAGAGAAGGACAACAGAACATAAAACATGAAAGAAGAAATTCTGAAATTCTTCAGGAAGAAGGAGATTACATTATATTGGATGGATTATATGGATTTAACTTGGGGCCATTTTTGTTTTATACACAACTTTGCATTTCATCATCAGTTATTATTAATCTCTGGTACTTTTCCACAGTGTTTCTGCAGTCCTGTCTTCCTCCCCTCACCCCCATCCAGTCGCGGCAAACTTACCCTCACTGAGCCTGGTTCTGCTGGAGGTCTCTTCCTGTTAAAAGGGAGTTTTTTCTGCCCACCCTCGCCAAGTGCTTGTTCATAGGGGGTCATAGTGGGTTTTCTCTGTACTATTTAGTGTCTTTACCTTACAAAATAAAATACCTTGAGATGACTGTTACTGTGATTTTGTGCCGTATAAATAAACTGAATTGAACTGCGCCTGAGCCAAAGTCCCTGTTGGCACTCTTGTGCGACCTGTGTGCTGCTTTGATATTTTCAATCGCAAATATGTTTTCTACCATATATTTGTCAGTCTGTGATTTTATTGTAATAGCTGCGCAGTGAAGTGGCTAACAGACGCAGACGAGCGAGATTTCTTCCTGCAGAAACCTTGAGGCAGATACTTGATGCCCAAAGTGACGATAAAGGCAGTCAGTCATTTTTATATGAAAGGAATTAGCTGCTTTCACATAAAAATGACTGATGATGAACATTTTAGTATATCTGCATAGAAGCAAAGGAATTAATATGGGTATGATAAACAAGCAGAGCAATTAAATGATCCCATTCTACCATTTTAGCCCCTATAATGTCTTGTGAACCAGAATAATTTATATTAACACAACAGATTTTAGATTCAGATGTGTCAGGATCTGAATACTATTAATATATATAATCTAATTAGTCATGTTGGGCGGACTAGCAAACCTCTGATAAGTAATAGAATTCCTGATCATATGATTCAGCCTGTATCCTCTCAGCTGTGTGTGGTATTTGTGCAGCAGACATTCAGCTTCCTCCCCGAGCATCTCACGGACTGTACCACACCGTGAGTTCCCCCCTTCCCTCACCCTTGCAGTGGGCCGCTCCCCCTTCTTTACCGCCCACTTTGGTTGAAGCCAAAACAGAACATCATGGCGATTGATGGTAAGTAGGCCAATAACGGCTCTCCTCTCCTTTTAATTAACTTCAGCTGGAAATGATACGTGTCAGCGGTGATTTGCCTCTGCTTAAAAGTGTTCGTGAGCTCAGGAGATGAGTGCTTGGTTCGGCTGGAAGCAGTGAAAGTTGTTTTTCTAATTTTCTTTAAGGCGGTAATTTTCCTTTGCAGTGTGATAGAAGAGAGGCAGGAGGAAGCTGGAAGCGGCGCTTGCTCTGTTTGTAAAGGTGGTGCTGAAAGGAAAGCTCCACTCCGCTCTTTAAACTGCATGACATTCATTCAGACCGAGCGTGTGTGTGTGTGTGTGTGTGCGTGCGTGTGTGTGTGTGTTAATTTCACGGAACTCGAGCTGTCATTTGGTTTGCAGTCTCGCTGCTGCACGCCTGTGCTTTACAACTCGGAGCAGAGCTCACACAAACCACATTAACGCACTGTTAATGCGGATAATGAATGCGTGATTTCTATTCCAGTGTCCACCGTGTGCTTTTACTGCTCACCTTACTCCGATTATGTAACTTTGCAGGTTGTAAGCAGCTTTGGTGCTTAGTTTGTTTTATCACTTTGGATCCCATGCTCACATTGCTGCGATACATTAAATGTCACAGGAAGGCAGACATACCATAGCTTAATGATAGATTTTTATTATTTTTTATTAATATAGAGTTCCCTTTTTGTGTTGATAAGACAGAACCTTTTCTTTATCCTATCAAGTTATGGACCAGTACAGTGAAAAGCTAGAGTCTGCACTAAAGGTGCAACCTCCTAAGACCCGAACTCTTCCACGGCATGCATTTTTAATTTCTCTTTGATATTTGGGCATATTGGGGCCCGATTTAATCCCAAATAATCTGGTTTCTTCCTGTTTTGTGAAGGTGCTGAATGCATAGGATGAAATATTGTATGAGTGTGTGCGGATGAGCATACAAGCCAGTGTTCTCCATTGTGGAGTCTTTACAGGAAGTTGCTAACATTTTTTAATTGCATTATTTGAAACAATTCTCTATAATTTTTTCAACCTCAAACATAACTCTAACATTTTGTTACAACATTTTTCCGCACTGACTCCCAGGCCAGTAGATCAGAGTTTTACTAGCCTCTAGTAAGTACAAATAAGCTCATTTAATTGCTTTACACACTGCTGGTTTAATCAGCACAAATATTTCAATGGTGAAAATTCATTAAATTAAATTCCTATTCCAGTTTTAGACTTGTCCCTGCAGGCATCGCTGCTAAAAAGAGAAGTGGGCAACTGCTCTCAGCCTGCGGCAAAGTTTTTGTGTCAGATTTATACAACACTAAAAATGCAGTCATTTGTAAATCTGACAAACCCAGATTTTATCCAAAGTAAAACATAGAAATCAAATCAAACGACTGTGAAAATCTATCATTGTAAGAAAATTTGAATTTTGTATCAGGCAAGAATGGGACACCTTTCTTCTCCCAAAAGTCCAGCAGGAGGTCTCCTCAGTTCCCAGACTGTCTTGAATGGTAAACATGGCCGGCCCCAACTTTATTGAGACATGTTGCTGCCATCAAATTCAAAAATGATCTTTTTTTCCAGTCTAATCATTTGAAATGACTTTTAAGTTCTGCTGTGAATAAAATCTGGGTTCATGAGATTGTCAAATCATTGCATTTGGTTTTTATTGATATTTTACACAGCATCACAACATTTTGGAACCAACTTTTCACAGGCATGTTCACAGGTGCAGCGGTGCTGAAAAACCCACACAGTCTATGAAATGCAGAGACAATAAGTCAGTGTTAGTCCTTTTAAATTGATGTGTTCAGCATTTCATTGTGTGACTGTGTGAATATATGCTGGAGGATTGATTTCAGTTTAGTTAATTTCATATGTTTGATACAGTATCCTCTCCTGCTGTGTTTCCCTTTTGTTTAGTATGTAGAATATCAGAGTTGGGCATGGAAATTCAGAAATGTTGCCCACCTACCCGGGCAGTATCCAAGCTTATCGATTCTTGATTCTTTGCACAGTACACAGAAGATAAGAAGCCGGATGCTTTTTATCTTTCTACTATTAAACCTGTAAAAATAAACATATGTGGACCTACGTTTTTCAACACAGAAAACTGAGGCAACATAAAAACATCACTAATGGCACTGGTGTCATCTAAATCTCATTATCTTAGCATCTGAAACTGTAAAGTTATAAAGTTCTCGCTAGTCTTTGGAGGGAAGTGATAAAATAATAGGTCGTGAGGAATACAGGACAGCAGAGATCACCTCTAGAAAACAGCACAGTGACGTGAACTCCAGCTGTAATCTAGGCAAATAGACCATCCATTCTCTTTGGGCCTTCGGACTCTGATCAGCACATAAAGTAAAGAAACACTTTAAGCGTGTGAGTCATTCATGTGTGATGGAAGAGCTAAATTTGCTGCTGCAGCTTTGTTTATCAGTTTGTTTGTTTTTTGTCTAAAATTTTAACAACAGGTTCAGACTTTAAACAAAACAGTCACGTGGATGAAACATGTCAGAAAACAATTAGTGGTCACTAAATATATTAGAAAGGCGTAGGTCACCGGCTCTGTTCTGCCACCATCATGCCTCCTCCTTCATGCCATCTGACATAGAGCTTTATTCAACCACACCCGTAACCTCAACTTCCTCACTAGCATTAGTCAGCAAAGTGCCGTTTCCTGAAGAGTAGTGGTTTGCTGGAGCTAGTCGGCCCCGCCGAGATTTATGGAGCAGCTGTGGGGCTGACTGACACCTGCAGCATCCAGGGATCGGTCTCTCGGCACCAGTGGGAGGCTGTGTTTCTGTCTGTACTTGTGATGTTAGGTTGGGTGAACGTCACGAGGTGTTGGAAAACACAAGTCGATTAATTTCAAGGCAACGAATTGAGCTGTGGGGAAGGCATTGTTTAGATCACAGCACATCATCTAATTTAAAGGGATATTTCTGATGAATAATTTACGAGCTTTTTAAAGGAGAATTAGTCTCTCTGTAAGAACCCACTTAAAACTGAGCACAAGCTAATGGACCAGATTAAACACCGGCCATGCTAATATTGCATGTGTCTTTTAGATGAACGTTTTCAGTAATCTCTGAAACTTGCGGCATTCGTGCTGTTTATCAAGTTACACGTGCACAATGTCAGCTACGTTTGCAGACTGGTGTTCAGACACCCGCGCAGACTGTTGTTACTTGTCTCTCCGCTCGCATTATGCAAGTTTTACTTTATATCACCAAACAAACAGTCGCTCATTTTCTGCCTCAAAGTGTACCGGTTTGCACAGCTGTCATCTACTTTTCAACCCTCCTCGGAGAGGACGTGTCAGCCGCCTGTTGGGACAGCAGCTCCAGCTAATGGCAGGAGATGGTGTAACATCTTAGAACTAAAAGGCAAGCAAGGCTGTTGTGCTTCAATAATATAGGAAAGATTTCTTCAACCAACTGTCATTTCTGGTGCAAGATAGTAGAGCAGTGTTTAAACTGCTGGTCGAGGAATGACGCACAACTCTTAATATCAAGATCACTGGCCAGTGAAACTCCTTCTGTGCTGTCAACACTTTTAATAATGTAGTGTATAAATCACTTTAAACCGCGAAGACATGCAAAGGATTTATTCTTGAATTAAATATTAGAAAAAGTGGTGAAAAAAACAAAACAAATTTAAATTTATTTTCAGTTAAATGTCTAAAAAGAAAAGAAACGAAGGGATATCAGCAACTTTACTTGGGCAGTCTGTCTGTGTGTATTAACACCTATCCAGGTATATTTTGCAGCTCACGTTAGCTTTTTATTTTAATGATTAATCACTGGGTAATTCTCTTTCTTGGCCTGCAGCTGACTGGCCTTACTGTTTCTCCTCTCGTGATCTGCATTAAGAAGGAGGGTCAGTCTAACCATGACCTGCTGCAGGTTGAGAGCTGGTTCTTATGCTGCTCCATCAGTTTTACCAGAGCAAAGCAAAGATGCACATGTTGCACGTTGCAGACAAGAATCAGTTATTTTTAAATCTTTCATTTTAGAAAGCCTGTATGTATTCAGCTTCTCATACACCCATCTCTTCATCTATAAACACAATAGGAATCTGTGGGAAAAGCAGCAAATTCTCACATTTAAGAAGCCGGAGGGAGTCAGTTTGCAGAAGCTTTTGCGCACTTGAATGGGAGATGAATTTAAAGAGGAAACTGGCAGGAACATTATAAGCATTGTTAATTTTTTCATTTTTAGCCCGAAGGCTTGAGTGAAGTGCGGCTCTCCAATTTCACCTACCTTGATGCCTAAAGGCTACTTTAGAGAGTACTGGGAGACTTTAATAATGTATTCAGTGACATTCAGCTTTGTCATCAGCTCTGTTTATTTTACTAATGTGCCGCTGAATCGCCTTAAATCACCATTATCAAAGCCTGCTGCTTCCCAAATGTTAGAGCTCCTAAAGCATCACTTTTGGACATGCCCGGCACGCTGTTTGTGAAAAGATCACTGAGCAGTTTAAAGGAGCTTGTGAAATTTTAAAAATCTCTGAAAGTAGTCTTTAATTTGCTTAAAAGGGACCAATTTTGCAGAAACCAAATGTTATGTCGACGGGCTCCACTGCATGCATCAGCTCCTGCAACAAGCTGTACTCAGATCGACTGGAAAATGGATTTCACATATCCTGGTTAAGTCCGGCTCTCTGGCTGGCAGATCGAAAGCGGGCAGCTCGCGTGCGTGCTGTTCTGTCTGCGCGGCGTGCATGAAGACTTGTCGAATCCTGAGCTAGAGCCAAGCGCAGAGTAGGCAGGCCAGGGTGTGTTGAGCTGTGGAAATATTATGTGTTAAGTGGAGCTCTACGTGCTGACATTTAGACTTCCAAATCGAAGTGAAATCCCTGCCAGGTCACTTTGCTTCTGGCACCTTTTTTCCACCGGTTTTGCCAGTTAGAAATATACGACTGTTCCATATGTCATTTTAGATCTGATAGACAAAACATCTGAAAACATTAGGCCCGTGCTTCCTCTGGACTGGAGACTCC